CCCCTCTCGCCCCCGCCCGCCGCCCCCGCCCCTGGCCCCACCGCTGTCCTGGGCGGCCAGCTGCTTCTCACACTTGAAGCGCTTCTGGCGGCGCAGGTAGCAGCCGTTCTCAAACATGTTGCCTGAGTCAGGGTGCAGTGTCCAGAAGGAGCCTTTACCTGGCTTATCTGGGGAGCGGGGCACCTTGAGGAAGCAGTCATTGAAGGAGAGCGAGTGGCGGATGCTGTTCTGCCAGCGTTGCTGGTTCTGACGGTAGAAGGGGAAGAGGTCCATGATCCACTGGTAGATCTCGCTCAGCGTTAGCATTTTGTTGGGTGACTGCTGGATGGCCATGGTGATGAGGGAGATGTAGGAGTAGGGCGGCTTGGCATGCGTGTAGCTCCGCCGGTAGGTCTTCGGGTCCCGAGAGCGGTTAAGGTTGGACTGCCCGTAGATGGGGCTCATAGAGTTCATGTTGGTGTAAGGGGCCAGGGCGTTCATGGAGCCGGCTTGGCCCCCCATGGGGCTCATGCTGGGGCTCAGGTGGGTGCCCATTCCTGCCACACCGGCCGAGCCCATGCCAGGCATGGCGCCCGTGCCCGGGGACATGCCAGTGAGCGAGGGGCTCATGCCCGTGTTGGCGTAGGACATGTTCATGGAGGTGGCAGCCGTCATGTTGGCCGTGGTGCTCATGGCCGACATGGTCATGTACGTGTTCATGCTGTTCATGCCCAGCCCCGCGTTCATGTTGCTCACCGAGGAGTAGCTCTACAAGGGCAAATGAGAGAGAGGAAGATTTGGGGGGGATGGGGAACAGGTAGACTTGTAACCCTGCCAGGGGCGACGGCAGCCCCCCCAAGCACAGAAACGGTACGGGGAGACCCCCGCCCCAACCCAGATCGCTGCTTGCACACGAGCTTTTGCAGCGCTGGAGCACCTTGCCCGGCGAGGTGGGAAGGGTTAAAGCTCCTGCGTGTTGAAACGCTCGTTAATGAAAAAAATTAAAAAAAAAAAAACACGCACACAAAAACAAAAACAAAAAAAGAAAGAGATCGCAACAAGATCGATAGACCTGTCCCTGGAAACGAGCCTCGGAGTTGGAAGGAAAAGGAAGGGATATCCCTGCCCGAAGCGACAAAAAATACCCGGCGGGGAGAGGAGGGAAGGGAGGAAGAGCAAAAAGCGACATGCAGCCCTGAACGCGCTAACTTTTGCCTCCCCGAGACGCACCCGCGCCCTGCTCGCCTCTCCGGG